ATGCACGTTAATATCATACTAATAAAATCAAACACACTAAAAATTATCATTAATCACGAAAAGTAAATTCTAAAATATTACAGTCAACCAACATTTAAAAATATACAGTAATCCAAATTTAATAAATAAAAAAAATACTATTCACCCAAAATTCAAACTTCTAAAAAATTAAACAATAAAGTAGAGTATTATAATCTTCGATTCTCGCATAACTTTAAGTAGCATTCCTACAAAATAATATAAACGTTTAGAGAAAAAGATTAATAATATAATGACAAAGCTAGTTGTGCACATTGAATACATTATACATCTACCTGAAAAAAATCATAAATGCACGAATAACTTGGATTTAACCTTCATTTGATTTCTTTGATTCCAAAATCTCTACAAAAAATGATTAAATTAACAATAAATTAAATAAAACACATTTATTTAACATAATTCATGGAATAACTATAATTATATTACCTTCGTCCAATTTTTTATATGCCTCAACATCTTCCATATAAAATCTCTCTATTATTGAAAACTCTTTAAGCCAGTTTTAGGTACATACCAAAACATCCACCATCCTAAGGGTTAAAGAACTACGAAATTGATTAAGAATTCTTCCTCCAGTATTCAAAGCACTTTTTGAAGCCACTGTAGACACTTGAATTGCCATAACGTTTCTTGCAAGTTTGGACAAAGTACCATATTTATTTCCATTAAGCCACCACCAATTAAGAACATCAAAATCACTATCCTCTATATTTTCACAAGCGTCCAACAAGTATCCATCAACATCATTTTTAAGTTCAACCAAATCTTTTGCTGCATTTTTTCTCTTAAATCTAGAAACACGATTAAGAGAGGCCGTTGAAGTAGGACTTTCTTAAGTCGAAGAAACCCCACTTGAAGAATTCATATCACTAGATACTTGATTGGTTTTAGAACTTGCTTCACATCTCACATATCAATCGTAAATAGACACTATATTGTCTTTCAAAATATTTGTCATATTACGAGCAACTTCCTTATCCTCATAAATATCACCAAAACAAAAATCAACGTACTCTAATTTATATCTTGGGTCAAGTACAGTAGCAATCAACAACAACTAGCTAACATTTTCCATTTTTTCCCAATACCTGTCAAAACAAATTTCATGTTAATGGCCATATCACTCAAAAGATAATCATCACTTTTACTCCATTCTTCCAATTCACTTATAAGTGAACATACTTCATGAAGATAAACATTGGAACTCACATGCAATGAAGTACTAAACTTCAAAGTTACTTCATAAAAACCTTAGAGGAACTTCACTGAAACAAAAGCATTTTCCCAGTCAGAAA